ACGTGTCTGCGTATGTATATACATACGTGCGTACGCGTGTGTGATGAACCGATCTGTGCAGAAAGGAGGGAGATGTACGATGCACGATAACCTACCCGTACACAAGGGATAGGTGGGTGTTATATACATATGTCTACACGTTTGCACATGTATATATAGCGCACATATGTAACAGCATTTTTTTTTTTCTTTCCTCTTTGCTCTTTTCTTTCTGTACCTCTGTTTTACCCCCTTCCACCTGTGAAGCTGCCATCTTTATTCGGTTTTGTGAAATATGTATATGTCTACAGGCATATACGTATTGGTAAAAAAATTAAGTATGCAAATAATGTCCACATTTTTTTTTTTTCGCCAATTTTCCCTTTTTTTATGCTTTAAAATTTATTTTTTATTGTAAATTTTTTTAGAAATTTTATACTTCGCATTGCTCGTCGCCATAAAGTTTCAATCAGCCCATGTTTTCTTTGTTTTTTTTTTTTTATGCGGGTATGTATGCATGCTTATGATGTGGTCTGTGTACGCTGACACATGTGCAGACGTGCATGCCTACACATGCGGGCACAACTGCATAGCTACATCGCTACACAACACCGCCACACGCCTACACACAAGCCCCCCTGCACACTACATGCTCCCCATTTTATTGTTATTAATTTTGCTTTTATATGATGTAATTTCGATATTTTTAAAAGTATAATAATTTAGACAAATATATGTTAAATTCTATTTAGTTTTTTAACACCTTTTTTAAGTAAAACAGAGATGAGCAAAAGCGTTCGCGTGAAAGAACCTTGCGCGGTTCTACAAAGAATACGGGCTTACAATTGGGGTTTAAAGAGCCGGTTACCAAAAATACATTGCACTAGGAAAAAGTCGAGGCGGTGGGATAGTGTTTCCCCATTTTCCCAATTAAAAAGGAAAAACTAGCACCCCATGAAACGACTGTGTTTGGACTCCTCAATTGGAGTGTTTCTACCCGCTGCTGCCATTTTTCTAAACGTACCACCTGATGAGAAACGGCCCGTTCGGTAAAAACATTTATTATTTTTGTTTTTTGGCTGCTTAGTTACACTTTGTACAAAATAAGCGATAATCAATTTGTATTGTTAGTATATAAATGTTAATCGAAGTTATAGGTTTTAAAAAAAAAAAAAAAAAAAAA